CCCCTCCCCTCCCCCTCCTCCTCCTTCTTCCTCTACTTCTCTCCGTCTCTGTCTCTGTATGCAAACCACAATCTCTTCCTCTTTCTTTCTCTATTTCAAAGTCAGTAGAATTTGGCTCAAAATGTTTTTTCTACCTCTAATGAAAATTTTACTTCAAATGTCAAATATCATCTATGTAGACTCACATTTTTAGCACAAATTATGGAGGAGAATATAAAATGCCTGGACAGCTAATAAATTGGCCTTTTCTGAGTCACTTTTGGTCAGAGAAAGACAGAGACCTGGGGCTTAGGAGTCCTATGGTGTAAAAGAGCTGCTCAGGGCCACCCATACAGGCGTGGCAGGTCCTGGAGAAGGGAATGGCATCTATATTTGATCTTTAATCAATGCTCAGAAAGTTATATTTAGTCCCACTAAAAACTACCATGTTTCCATTTTGAACCTGACTTATTTACATGTAAGAGATTTTCTCCTTTAGATGGTAGTAAAGGAAAATCATAAAGATTAGAGTTCGTCCTCTTTTCTCCTGATTTTTCTTATTGCTTTCTCCACTCAAAATTATATTAAAAACATGTTCCAATAACATTTCAGGAAACATCAACACACATCCATGTGAACCTATTTTTGTTTTGAAATCAACTTATCTCAACAGAATGGTGGATCAACTCCAAGGAACATGGAAATCCATTTCTTGTGAAAATTTTGAAAAATATATGAAAGAGCTAGGTAAGCCACGTTTGTCTGCATATCATATGCAGTATTAATGGGAGTTCTGAAGGCACATAACTTACTTTGTATAAAATAAGATATGAATTTTTGATTCCCTAGTTTTTCACATAGAAAAACATAAATATTCATTTACCACCCAAGGTTAGTTCTGTACAAAACTAGGTTGAAATTGACATAATCTTTTGTGCAATTTACAGTGGATTTATATAAACAAAATATGCATATATCATTTACTAAACAGCAATTTGAATAAATGAAACAAAGAGACACGATTGTTTTAAAATGATTATTTTATAAATATTTTCTCTAATCTCTACAAAATATTCAAAATACATCTTCTTTCCTAGCTTCTGGTAGCTGCTGGTTTTCCTTGGTGTGTGGCCATAATGCTTCAGTCTTGGCTCCCATTCTTATTGTCTTCTTTTCTTCTGTTATCTAACATACCATTTCCCTTCTTTTATAAGGAAACTTGTGATTACATACAGTAGGCTTCAGTCCAATAATTTAGGGTAATCTCTTCCTTTCAAGATCCTTAGATTAACTGCATTTGCCAAGTTCCCTTTGGCATAATGAGTAACATTCATAGGTTCCAAGGACACTTCACATCTTGTGATCAGGTTTTACATCATGAATTCCATGAACCACATTATAGTATTTCTCCAGTGCTATATCTTCTCTTAGAAATTTATCTTAGGCATTGCCATGTATGGGATGCTATTTCTATTGAAAACATTTCTACATATATTGCACAAAGCTGTATGTGGAAGGATGTTCACTACAAAATTAATTGTAAAAACAAAACTAGAAACAAATTTATTATCAGTGGGGGCAAGAAAATAAATTTATATACATATATAATATATATTCAACTATGAAAAATACCTATCTGTGAGCTGACATGGAAAGTTTCCAAGACATACAAATTAAGAGAAAAAGAAAGTTAGAAAATAATAATGCAATATAATACTTATATTTTTGAAAACCTTATATATGGAGGGGATGGTTGCACAACACTATAAAGTACTTAATGCCACTGAGTTATACACTTAAAATGTGAAACTGGCAAATTGGTGGTAGGTGTATTTTATCACAATAAAATGTACACAATAGGTAAAACAAATCACACACACACACACACACACACACACATATATATATATATGATTACATACAAGAATGTAAATGAAAAGCTAAATATCTGGAAGAATCTATACCAAATATTTTATTTGCATGTGAAAAGGGTATACTTTCAAAATAGAGAAACGATTTATAGCTTTAATCAAGTTTTTAAAGGAGTCTACAAATCTATAAGATTAATAACTACTAGACTAGAGAAAAAAGACAGCCACTGGACACTTTTTCTATCAAAAATAATCAATTTTACTATGTAATGGTTCAACTACTAGCTTTAGATATTTGAATTCATGCAGCATTAAATCTGTGTAACAAATCTCCTCCATAGCAAATAATTATACAAAGCGCAAAAGTTCTTCTCTTTGTCCATTCATCTGGTTTGTAGGAATAAGAAGAGCCAGTAGGAAACTGGGCTGCCTGGCAAAACCCACTGTGACCATTAGTACAGATGGAGATATGATCACCGTAAAAACCAAGAGCATCTTTAAAAATAATGAGATTTCATTTAAACTTGGTGAAGAGTTTGAAGAAGCCACACCAGGTGGCCATAAAACCAAGGTGAGGTATACAACTGTCTTTCGGGTAACTTTGATAAGGGCGAATTAGAAATTATACCAAGTTAGCAACAGTACTAAACACTTCTGGCTCAAATGTAAATCTGAAGATATTGAGCATTAACATACAGTGAAATCTCCTGGGAGGCCTGTGGAAAGTGCTTACTGCTCAGTCCCATACCCAGGGGCACTGAAGTCGGGTGGGCACCTGAAAATTGCATTTTTAAAAATTTTGATTCTCATACTTAGCAGGCCACATTTTGAGAATAACTTAGAATCATTAGATTAATATTTAGTCCGCTCAGAAACAAAAGCTCTCTCTTCCAACACCCAGAAACACAATGGATAAAATCTGTGTCAGCTGGTATAGGCAATGTTATGCCTCTGTAACAGATGAGTCACAAGCTCTCAGTGGCTTAAGACAATGGGGAATTATTTCTAACTCAGTACATGGGCAATGTTGGGGGTGGAGTGGAGCGAGTCTCTGTGCTTATAGGAGGATGGATAGGATTTCTGTCCCTCTTAATCTCTCAGGGACCAGGCCAAAGAAGTTTTAGCTACCTTGTAACTGTATCACCTAGAATTTGCAGTCTCCGGGGGACAACAAGACAGAATGGGGGAGGCAGAGACAGAGAGACAGAGACAGAGATAGAGAGATGGGGGAGAGACTGAACTTTTTATTCTCAGCTTGAAAGTGACACATACAGTTTTCATTCCCATCTCGTGGGCTCCAATTCCAATATATTGATTTACTTATAGTAGCATTTTATTTCTGATTTGTTTATTATTTATCACTTGTTTCCTTACCTCAGAATGTAAATACCTCAAAGACAATATTTCTTCTTTGTTCCACAGAATCCAGTGCTTATAAAATACCTAATAGGTGTTCTATAAACACCCAGTGTTTGAATGAATGAAATAAATAGGGGATTGTTGATCTCAATGGCGGGCAAAATCCTAAAAATGGAACTATTACAGTATATCACGTGAAAAGATCGTTACTAAATAAACATGAGACCTCAAATTCATGTACAAAGTAAGATGAAAGAATTCTGACCAAAGGTGTTTTAAAAAGATGTCTGTGCCAGGTTTAAAAAATATCTTACTGTAACAAAAAATATGATTCGAGTAAGAAGACAAGAGGGGACATTTCTTCTTAGGCTTTAACAAGAGTTTGAATTGGCCTCATGTATATTTTTAAAGTTGAAATTTACTTGTGGTTCTTTAGCAAAAACATAATACCTTCCCTATTTGACAAAATATAAAAAAGAAAGTTTCACTTACCTTCAAGTTATTATGTTTTTACTGTTGTAAAACTCATTTTCCTGGAAGAACTTGCCAACAAATTGTCTGCTGAAAAAGTCTTAAAATAAACAGGATATAAATACCATCCCGGAACTACCTGAGAGCATCATTATAGCTGAAAAGAATTTGGCACCTGATGAAATATTAGTGTTCGAATGTGGTGACCCGATCTGAATGAGGTCCTGTCTGTTTTCCAGAGCACCATAACCTTAGACAATGACTCCTTGGTTCAAGTTCAGGACTGGGATGGCAAAGAAGCCACCATCCAAAGAAAGCTGGTGGATGGGAAGATGGTGGTGGTTAGTGAGCCGTTTCTCAATATTTTCTCAGCTATTGCAAAACCCTAATATAAAAATCACATCAGCAATTTATTTCAAAACCATAAATATAAATGCCATTGTTCTCTTACCTAATAGGCCTTGAGGGTAAACATTGACAGATAAATGAATCATCGTAAAAATTGTAAAATGTGTGTGAACTGAGGAACTAAAAAACTAAAGAGAATAAATAATTCTTTAACTCATGCATGAACCAAAACAAACATGTATTTGTGCAATAAAAGTTTCAACTTGACTGAGGGTTGTTGCCAATCCTCCACTGTCTACCAGAATTAACCTCTCACTGTTTCACTAAATCAACACCAAACAAGAGCATGAGAAAGAAGTTTGAACTAGGGATAAGAAACAGAAAGGCTGTCTTTTTGGTGTGTGGATGAGTTAACATAAGTAAGAAATGACACTTGAATTGTCACCACATTCCCATATTTTCTTGTATTATTTACCCAACCCTCAATAAACCTGTGAGGTAAGATTTATTAGTTCATTTAACTGATGAGCAAACTGAGATTCAGACATTGACTTTTCTAGGAATAGAAAATTAGAAAAATGTAGTAATGTTGAGATTAAAATCTAATTGACTTAATTTCAGAATGTATACATATTTGAGTCCCTTCTGCTGTCCTTCAGGGAAAAGTAGAGCAAAGAGTGTCAGTGATTCTCCTCTTCCCAAATCCAATCTGCACCAAAATTAATAAGATGGTAATTTTGGACATAATATAAAATAAGTCAAAGGAAATATGCAAGATTTATATGGAAGTAAACATGGAATATCTTGGCCCCCTTTTTCTCCCAATCCCCATCCCTCCTTTTAACCTTCCTTCCCCCTTGTTTACAAAAGTTTTGTTTCTATTTTTTTCCTTCTTTTCTCATTTTTTCTTTTCCTTTCCTTTCCTCCCTCCCTCCTTCACAGTTTCCCTTTCCTTTTGAATAGGAAATTTCTTCCTATTTCCTATTATCTATTATACATTTTGGTCCTTATTTATCCTTTCAGTTTCCCACACCAGAGAGACAATGCAATATTTGCTCATGTGTCCAATTTATTTCACTTAAGAGTATAGTATCAAGTTGCATCCATTTAGCTATAAATGTCCCAGGTTTATTTTTCTTTATGGCTGAGAAGTACTTCATTGTATAGAAAGACCACATCTTTTTTATCCATTCATCGGTTGATGGGCATTTGGGTTGTTTCCAAAATTCACCAATTACAAACTATGTCACTATAAACATGGGTGCACATACATGGCTGTGGTACAATGCCTTTAATTCTTTCAGGAAGATACCCAGCAGGGGAGTGGCTGGGTCAAATGAGACCTCTAATTCTAATTTTTTAAGGAATCTCCACACTGATTTCCACAGTAGTTGCACCAGTCTGCACTCCCACCAACAGTGGAGAAAGGTTCCTTTCTCCCCACAGCCTTGCCAGCACTTGCTGTTGGCTGATTTCTTGATAGCAGCCATTCTTTCTGGGGTGAGATATTCTTTCTTCAATGAAGAGTACATTTTGTTCCTTGAAACATTAGAAGAGAGGATTAAGAATGATTTTATTCTTTCTTATAATGACAATAGACAATACAATGACAGATAAATAAATAGTTCAATGAATGGCCAATAAATAAACCGTTCATTAGGAAGAACACTACATGCAGCATCCGCGGATGTGGCTTTCTAACCCTGCCATTTGGTTGGTATGTGGCTTTGGACATGTCATTTATCCTCTCCAAGATTCAGATTCCTTGCCAAAGCATCTAGATAGCACCTTCATAGAAGGCTTTCTGAGAGAATTAAATACCATAATGTTCACATATCAGTGCTCTGAAAACTATAAGATATTATATTAATTTAACAGTATTATTTGAAAAGGTAGAGTATATAAAATAGCAAAAATGCTTCAATGTAGGCATTTAAAATACTTCAATAAAAACTTCAGATTACAAATTGTAGGCCTTGATTTATATATATAAACTGTATGTGTCATATATATCATAAATCATATTTATCGATATTATCTTTTCAAGATTTTCAAAAAAATGTTATGCATGGATATCACATAATTTATGTTTTCCTACATGTTGGTGTCATCAGCAGTACTGAAGTGCCTCATCCTTCTTTTGTTTCCCAGGAAAGTTCTGTGAACAATGTTATCTGCACCCAGACGTGTGAGAGAGTGTAAACAACCTTTGTCTCAAGGTCTTGGCACTGTCAAACTGTGATCCAAAATGCTGAGGCTGTTGGAATCAAACTCCAAAGTAAAGTACTACGATTGTTAACACGAGAGAACCATATCAACAATTTTGGTTGCCCTGTTAATTAAGTTCACCTACCTGATACAGTAAGCACCTTGATATTGACAGTGATGAGAAGCCAGGAGACAGATGCATTCAGGGCAGGCCCAAGAGTGTATATTCAGACAGATACTTCATACTGATTTTGTTCTTGCCAGGGATATTGTGTTCATTCTTCAAATTCAACACTACTTGAGAAAATAATATATATATATATATATTTGGTACCAGGGATCAAACTCGGGACTTGCACTTGTGAAGCAGGCACCACTGAGCTAAATCTCCGGTCCAAGAAAATAACAATTTTTAACAAACTGCCTAAGACTTAGTGTTCCTCACAGGCTACACTAGAGTTGTATATGAAAGGAACAGGTTTAGAAATAGGGCGATAACAGATGCTCTAAATATAGTGCCACATGTTATTACAGAGAAAACCAAAACCTCTGCCACCATCACTAAAAGCCACCATAGTAGAGAGTGCTCTGTTGATTTGCACCAAACCTCATGCAGTATTAGGCCAAGGAGGCATTTTAGAAACTGAGTGGATTGATTACCTTATTTTATAGATGGGAAACAGGCCCTAATCAGTTAACTGTATACTTCAAGGTCAATGATCTAAGGAGGAACTGGAACCAGAATTCATTTCTCAATTACTAACCTCATAACCATAACAAAGTGAATTTAGGTTGAACAGTTAGGAAGAACCAGGTTCAGAGTGTATGTCTGTGAATCAAAGGTATCACTGCATCAGCTAATGAATAAAGCAAGCTTCCTGTTGTCTTCACATGAATGGAAGGATGCCAGTTAGGTCCCGGGGAGGACATAGTGTTTGGCTACTGGAATTTATAGCTTTTTAGCAGTTATTTGCCCGAAATGATATACAGTGGATTTTGGTATTTGTGTAGAAGTGAAAGACATGCTTGCTTATTTTTGGTGTGCTAAGTAATGAAGATGACAATGAAAAACATAGAAAGACATTTGTCCCCAAGCTGCACAGGCAGGACAGAGAGGATTCCACACAGAGGCTGACAGAGCTGTTTTGCTGAGGCCCTGTCTTCCTGAGGCCCTGTGGTGCTGGACATGAGCAGCTGTGATATAGGATATGAGTGACAGCTTGCTGCACATTATCTCCATCAGAATTAAGCTCAGATTTGCTTTGACATCCCCAAGGTCAAAGGCTATGGGAGTTTCTGGAATCAGTCCTTTATTTTTGGCATTAAGGTGGCTTGCCTGCTGTGGTAATAAAAATACTCACAGGCAGCAGGGACCCAGCGTGAGAAAGTTTGTAGTAAGGGATAGTTCTTGGATTCTGTGGGAACTCAAAAGGAACATCTTGATCATTCTCAGGAACACTGGGTAGGCAGGGGCTGGGAGTAGGGTGGACTTTGAAAAGCTCCAGTTCTGCATGAGCAAAAGCAAGCAAGAGTGGACATTTGGATATTGATAAAATACAATATTATTTGTCAGTAACCTGGTAAGGTCTAGAGATATTATGGATATTCAAAACACACACAACACAACAGCACCCAAAGACTTTCAGTAGAGCTAAGCAGCATGTCTACCTTCTTTCCACTTCCTTTATTGAGTTGAGAATAATTAAAATAGAAAGTCATTCACTGTGGCTAATGGAACTGCATATGTATGTACCTCAGGTATGGCTGGGAAACTGAACAAGATACACCATTGCTCCAAAATGACACTGTAATTCAGGATTTGCTGCACTGTCTCCATGTACCAGTCCCTAAGTAAGACCTGGTGGTAGAATATTTAATTAATGTTCAGTGTTCTTGCTGGACTCTGTAGAGAAGTGCTGTGCTGGAAAGTGTGCTAGTCAGCTTTCTATCATTTAACAAACACCTAAAATAATTGATTTTAAAAGGGAAAAAGTTTAATTTGGCTCACAGTTTTGGATGTACCAGCCATGATTGCTTGGCCCCATTGCTTTGGAAGCACATAAAGGAGCAAAACTGCTCATTTCACGAGCAGGAAACAACACAGAGTGAAAAAAGAAGCTGGGTTACACAGAACCCTGTAAGGGCACACCACCAAAGGCATAAAGAGCTCCGTTACACCCTATGGCTTTTTTTTTTAATTCTTAAGTTCTTTTATTGGTGCATTTTAGGCATACAATGCATTTACATTTGTCATTGGGTGTTTGTACCTGAACATGATTCTTATTTTTTCCCCATTACCTGTGCGCCCTTCACCCCCTCCACCCTTCCCTATTTACATAGACTTCATTTCTATTTTTTTTCTTTTCTTATAATTTTTCCTTTCTCTTCTTTCCTTTCCCCTTCCCCTCCCACCACCGCAACACCTTTGGACTTTTCTTCCTATTTCAAATTATCAATTATTCATTTTAATCATTTTGACCCTTATTTTTACTTTGAGTTTCTCACACTAAAACTATTCAGTATTTACACATGTGTGTCCTATTTATTTCACTCAAGAGTATGGTCTCTATATGCATCCACTTAGCTATATTTATATGACTCTAGTTTCTCATTCTTTATGGCTGAGTAGTACTCCATTTTATAAAAAAAACTACATCTTCTTCATCCAGTTTCCAGTTGATGGGCCCTTGGGCTGTTTCCAAGCTTTAGCTATTACAAACCGTGCCACTATAAACATGGGTGGACATATATTGCTGTGGTATGATTCTTTTAATTCTTTTGGGAAGATACCCAGCAGGGGAATACCTGGGTCAAATGGGACCTCTAGTCCTAGTTCTTTGAGGAACCTCAATACTGATTTTCACAGTGGTCGTACCAGCCTGCACTCCCACCAGCAATGGAGAAGTATTCCTTTCTCCCCACACCCCTGCCAGCATTTGTTATTGGTTGATTTCTTGATAGCAGCTATTCTTTCTGGGGTGAGGTGGAATCTCAGTGATGTTTTCATCTGCATCTCTTTAATGACCAGTGATGTTGAACATTTTTTCATATATTTACTTGATGCTTTTACTTCTTGTTCTGAGAAATGTCTGTTCATTTCAGATGCCCGTTTTTGAATTGGGTCTTTCAATTTAGGGGGTCTGATTTTTTTCAGTTCTTTATATATTTGAGATACTAGTCCTTTGTCTGAGGTATAGCTCCTAAATTTTTTTTCCAACATTGTAGGTTGCCTATTAGCTCTGTTGGTGGGGTGTTTTTTTGCAGTACAGAAGCTTTTTAATAAGATGAGATCCCAGTTATTGATTCTTTATGCTAGTTCCCATGCTACTGATGTTTTGTTCATAAAGTCTTTACATATGCCAATGTCTTCAAGAGTTCTACCTAACTTATCTTCCAGCAAGTTTAGTGTTTCTGTTTTAAAATTTAGATCTTTAATCCACTTTGATCTTAGTTTAGTGCATGGTGATAGGTATGGGTCTAGTTTTAATCTTTGGCAGGTTGAAATCCAGTTTTTCCAACACCATTTATTAAATAGGCTATCTTTCCTCCAATGAGGGTGGTTGGCTCCTTTGTCAAAGATGAGGTGGCTGAGTATGTCTGGAGTTGTTTCTGCATCTTCTAATCTATTCCACTGATCTTCAGGTCTATTATTTTGCTGATACCATGCTGTTTTTATCACAGTAGCTTTGTAGTATAGTTTCAAGTTGGGGGTTGTAATACCCCTGCCATGTCTCTGTTGCCTAGAATTGCTTTTGCTATTCTAGGTCTCTTCCAGTTCCAAATGAATTTTTGGATTGTTTTCTCTAGTTCTGTGAATTATATTGTTGGAATTTCAATTGGGATTGCATTAAATCTATATAGTAGTTTTGGAAGTATGGTCATTTTCAGTATATTGGTTCTTCCTACCCAGGAGCACCGAATGTCTTTCGATTTTCTTATGTCCTCTTCAATCACTTTTTTCAGAGTGCTATAGTTTTCAGTGTACAGATCTTTTGCTTCCTTTGTTAGATTGATTCCTAGATATTTCATTTTTTGGATGCAATTGTAACGGAATTGTTTGCTTAATTTCTCTCTCAGTGATTCTGTTATTTGTGTACAAGAAGGCTATTGTTTTTTGAGTGTTGACCTTGTATCCAGCTACTCTACTGAATCTGTCAATTAAGTCTAGAAGTCTTTTGGCTGAGTTTTTTGGGTCTTCTATGTAAAGTATCATATCATCAGCAAATAATGACAGTTTCATGTCTTCCTTTCCTATCTTTATTCCTTTTATTTCTTTCTCTTTTCTAGTTGTTGCGGCTAATATTTCCAGAACTATATTCAACAGGAGTGGTGATAGTGGACATCCTTGTCCTGTTCCTGATTTTAGCATGAAAGTTTTCAGTTTTTGACCATTTGGTATGATGTTGATGGTTGGTTTTTCATAGATAGCCTTAATCAGGTTGAGATAAAGACCATCTATTCCAATTTTCTGTAGGGTTTTTATCATGAATGGGTGTTGGATTTTGTCGAATGCCTTTTCTGCATCTATTGAGATGATCATATGGTTTTTGTCCTTGATTCTGTTAGTATAGTGTATTACATTTATTGATTTACAAATATTGAACCATCCTTGCATCCCTGGGATAAATCTTACTTGGTCTGGGTGTATGATCTGCTTGATGACCCTCTGTATTCTGTTTGCCAGTATCTTGTTGAGGATTTTTGCATCTATGTTCATTAGGGAGATTGACCTGTAGTTCCCTTTTGGGGTTGGATCGTTCCCTGGTTTTGGAATCAAAGTAACACTTGCTTCCAATGAATGAATGAATTTGGAAGCCTTGCTTCCCTTTCAATTTCCTTGATGAGTTTAAAGAGTTATGGCGATAGTTCTTCTTTAAATGTCTTTTAGAATTCAGCAGTGAAGCCATCAGGTCCTGGACTTTTCTTTGTTGGTAAAGATTTCATTACATTTTTCAATTTCACTCATTGTAATTGAGGTGTTTAGAATTTCCATATCTTCTTCATTTAACTTTGGCAATTCATATGTGTCTAGGAATCTGTCCATTTTTTCCATTTTATTAGAGCACAGTT